ATATGCATTATCGTCATCATTAATGTCTTGAAAACTTAAATCATCTTTATGATCATACTGAAAGTCCATGTCATCGTTATCATTATCAGGTGAACGTACAGGCGAACGAATTGCAACTCTCTCATCAGAATCTGTTGTCTCATTAGGTTTGCTATAAGAAAACCGATTTTGAATTTGAATTGGCTCTATTGGTTTATTGTGACTATATCGTCTTCTCATCTTTTAACAATTTAAATCCTTAACTTAATTTAGAATTTTTATAAAATTCAATAAATCTTTATAAAAATTATTTATTAAATACCTTAATACCTTTTATATTGTTTAGCGTATCAACAAAAAAACCAAAATCAATTCGGTTAAAATTATTACCGATTTGCTATAGATTCTGATTGGAGTTTTGAAAGTAACACAATCGTCAAGTTTTGGAATACAATTGTATACAAAATCAAGTAGTACATGCTTTTTTTATCGTTAATCAATACATAAAAATTCAATTAGTATAAAAAAAATTTATTTCATACTTGCTTAAATCTCACGAATGCGTCAAAAAACTCAAAAATTAAACTAATTGAATTGCGAAGTTTTTGACCTGTAAATTCATATTCAGGATTATAAAAAATAGTGGTTGAAAATTATACTTAATAAATAGAAAATGCTCTCGCGAAACAATAATTTAGTTAATTTAGTAGTAGAGTATTAAAGTTTACGATTTAATAAAATAATAGATAAAGTATGATTTAATTTACGATTATATATTTAATTTATGATTATATTTTTCGAACATCAAAACTAATGAAGCGAATTCGTTAAACACCATGATTGTTATTAGTAGACCAATTAAATCAATTTTCGTTAATTAATTTTTGTTAATTTTAAGCCATTGTCAAAATACTAAAATAAATGTTGTGATAAAACTTCTCCGATTAAACCTCTAAATCGACCACCATAGAAGATAATTACGTGTATAAAAACATCTTTATTATTCCATAGTAAGTCCTCAAATTAACCCGTGACTCACCCACGGTAAATTCTTTAATTTACCATAAAGATACCGTGACATACCCGTGATACACCCGCAGCATACCCATGGCTTATCCAAATTTGTTTAACAAATTTGTTTAAACTATTTATTCCACATCATTGCAATTTCTTATTGTGTTCATAGATTGTAGGCGTAATAATTTGATTTTATTTTTTTACAAGAACACGGATTTTTTTTATTTTCCCACTCCTTTTACAAAATTCTTTCATTTCATTAATTCTTTCGTTTTCATTAATATAATTCTTCGTTTCATTAATTCTTTCGTCTTCATTAATATTTCATTAATTCTTGTG